ATTACTCGCGCGTAAAACTAAAGTTGATGTATAATAGCGTTGTGTAAAGACTTAAATATTGTAAAAAGTTATTGTATAAATTTTATTTAAAACATTCTAGCAAGAAAAGAAGTTTTAGTAGTCTGAAAGACTTTTTGAAATGTATTATTTCAATGTAGAAAGAATTGGCACTTGCTTTGAAAAGAATAGAAGTTAACAATGTACTACTAATGTATGTTTTCAAATGTGTAAAATTAACGGCATGTTGATATGTTCTTATATACATGTGAACTGTTATTTTAAATGTTAAGAAATACCGTGATATGGTAAAAGTGAAAGTAATGTTAAAAATTTGTTATTCGTGTGACTGTAAAGATTAAATCATGGCGAATATGTGGTTAAAGGTTGAATGATGTAGTTAGGCTCTCTGACGCTACACTTTAGAGTTAGCCACTTTTAGAATAGTACCTCAGGGTTTAGAGTTGAAAGTAGGGTGTGTTAAGAGGTCTCGTTATGTTGAATTTTAACACGTTAGTGTTTTGATTGTAGGAGGAAGTGTGGCACACGTAGACAGAAACACATTCGTGTTTGGTGTTCTTTTACAACACATGTCAGAGAGCACGGGGAGAGATAATTAAAATAGTCATGAATGAAATAAGAATGTTAAGAGCACTATAATTGTATATGTTACTTGCCATGTCATTGTGTAACATTTCATTAAACTAGTTTTCCTTCCAGATCTCTGGAAGGAACCAGAATTGAATAAAGCTCCTGTTTAGATGCAGTACAGATGAAAAAAAGATTGTTGTATATCCTGGGAGCTGCTATTGTAACAAATTTCTTTCTTTTAAATTTTCTAGTTTCTAGCTAAGTTATGGTTGTAAAAGGTTGGCCTCGCGTTAGATTCTAGAGCTAAAAGTTTTCAACAAGGTCGTTTTAGACCTCAGTTTCAAACTAATTAACTCTGGCGGGAAGTATGTAAGGATCTTAAGTTTTACTAACGTTTATTTTATTTTAAATCTTTACTATCACTTCTTATTTTCTACTTCCGGCCAGAATTATAAGCGTGAAGGTTTTTATGCAAAGTTTGTCTGGCGAACGCCAAGTATTTAAGTGTGGCCTTTTTGCCAAGCGAGAGAGAGGAAGCAGTAAGTCAACGCAGGCCGCTTACCTTAGAAGTTACGCAGTTGCTGTTCGCCTTCCAGGCCAGAGGTTTTAATCCTCTTGATAAAGTAAACGTATTGTAGTGTTCACAGTCTCTGTGCTACATACGCTTCCTGTTATTATAAGGCCAATCTTCCACGTGTATTATTCTAAAGTTAAATTAGAGTTTAGTTTTATTTTTTATACTTTTTTTACGTTAGACCCCGGGGGGGGGTCAGGTGTATTCCGAAGTACGGAAGTTATTGTATATAGAGAAAAATAAAGGGTTTTGTATACCCTTCGTCTGTATCCTGTCTACTTACCACAATTAGTGAACATAGCTTTAGTAAGCTCTCTGTTCCGAGTCAGGTCCTTGTATGTTCCCGAAGAAGGTTAGAAGGAACATTGAACCTGATATATTAATAATAATAATTTAGTAACATAAATTTATTCATAGTAAAATGTACTCGCGGGCCGTAAAAATAATTTGGCGGGCCGTCAGTTGAACAGCCCTGTGCTAAAGTAATGTAAGATGCAGTATAATGTAACGTCAGGTTTATACATTTTATATAGAGCATTATTCATATCATGTATAATATGTACTCAGTGTATGTTTCTATGTTTAAATATGTAAGGTAAATGTATAAAGTAATGAAAAGAATGGTAAAATATAGTGTATGGTATAACGTACAATGTAATTTGGTGAAATGTACAAAAATAAGGAATGATATATATAATGTGACGTAATATAAGGTACAGTATAGTGCAAAGTATGGCATAATGTACAATACACAATAATGTATATATCTATGCATGTTTATTTAGGTAATAAACAAGAATGTCTAGTAGGGCATCGTCATGTAAGTCCTGTGAAACAATAACAACACTGTCTGTCGTACCATGTTGACAAAGCCCTTGTATGGCCATATATTGATTGATATTGTTTCAATAAATGCTGGGCCCGGGCGATTGGATGAGGGTGAATTCCCGGGGGCATTTTGGTTTGTTCGACTGCCCACTGGATGGTCTAGGCGTCCTGTGCGAGGCTTTCTTGTGGCCACACCAACTGGCCAACTCTAGACAAGGGCGAACGTAGTGCTGTACTAATTAACCTAATGGTAAAGGAACAGTGCCCACGTCCTCCGTCGCTTGTCGCTTGCTTCTCGAAATCACTGGAAAGCAATGCGAGGGTGAAATTACGTTTACGACTAACATAGTGGTCAATTACACTTAATAAGTTAGAATACTTGTTACGATAATACAAGGGACTGGACCAAAATGTCGCCAAATTTGGTGACAAAATAAGTCGCCAAAACCGATGTCAGATTGGCGATATCTTGCCAAATTACCGAGATACCAATTTACTCAATGTTAACTGCACTTGCCCCTGTATTCTTACTTTTCCGGCATAGCTTTCTCTTAAGAATTTGTTTCGCGCTACATTACACAGAAAAGAACAACAATTTTACTTAGAATTCTACTAAAATTACCTATCTAAGTACAAAAATCGTAACAATGCGTCATACTTAATTATCTGAAATCAATTTTTGTCAATGCTGAAGAACTATTTTAAATACTTCTTCCTTTATGGAAGTGGAAAGTGGAGCAAATGGGAAGGAAAGATTTTTCCGATTTCAGGCGCATCAGAAATTACTTTAGAAAGATCTTTAGCCCAACTATTCACATAATTTGTTAATTACGTTTATGAGTTTTTTTTTTTTTTTTTTTTTTTAAGTTTACACTTTAAAAAGGCAAAAACATACAACTAACATATTTTTCAGTTAGTTTTACTTAATAAATGATAAATCACATACGTTTAAATACATGTACATATGTATCGCTCAATACTTACACTTATTTGCATCTTTCACTCTATTTTTCTTGTTAAAAATATATATCTTGTATGCTTTATTTAAAACTATTAAAACTGAAAAAAAGTATTAAACTTAATTATTTATGAAGAAATTCTGCAGCGAAATTAGTATTTTGTATGTATAAATGTCTGATTTTATATGTGATACGGAGCTATCACGATTTCTGGTTCATAATTTTGCATTTGTTTATGATAATTTCAAAATGACTCGTCAGTGTTACCATTACATAACAATCCTTATATTTTGTAATATGTGATTTTGAAGATATGTGATATAAAAACTCTTCGCTAACAGAGCATAAAATATATCATTTCCATCCGCATTTATGTACAGTTACTTTACAACCATTTAAAAAAAATCCATTTCTAATATCGAGAAGTAATTTTGTTTTCATTTTCCAGATAAAATTCTGGATATGACTTTTCATGTTAAGACTATGTCGTGATCTATGTCAACAGATGAGAAAAAGAAGAATCCAAGCGCTATTGCTTCATTTTTATTGATGAAATTTACGCCTCTGGCCCATCAGATTTATGGGCTGCCAGCAGTATCACCTTAACTCTTTGATATACAGTGACGTTTGGGATACGTTGTTTATTATCATTGTCAAAGCAGATTTTTTACGCGATCCAAACGTCACGAAATTCCTATAACTTTCATATATATATATATTAGTTACTATTGAAAAATGTAAACGAAATCTTCGATAGCAGTAAATTAGTCTAGCAGCAAATTTATTTGTTCGTATCTTTAAGCGCATCAGTTTTTGTTTTAATCTAATGACGAGAACTTGCTTATTCGGCAATGGCCGCTCCCAAGGCCAGAAGTGGTGGCCATTTTCTTGTGAAGCCACCTAACAGGCGGCCACTGTTGACGGGCAGTTACATCCATGCCTTCTCCGGGATTCGAACCCGGGCTTTGGTATCGCATTCGGCTCCCCTAACCACTACAGCGTCTGGGCAGCAGCACATCAAATTTGAATTTTATCGGAATGTCAAGAAGTTAAATTAACTAACAAATTTTCGTTTGTAAGATATACTTTAATCCATTTGTAAAATCACATACCTTCGAAAGAAATTTTAATGCTTTTCGTTTTTTCAAGCTCTAGAAAATCTAAAAATGTTTTCCATATACTTTAAAATTACTCTTAACGCTTCTTCTGTGAGATTTATTTTGGGAAAAATAAATCAGTTTTTAATGAAAATTATATGGAATAATTTTTAAATGTTAATATTTCAAGTAATTTTGTGGCATAAAATAACGTAGCATAAGGACAACAGTACTTAACGAGATGTCAAAAACTAAAAATAATAAAACAATATCGTTATTTCTGCGATACAGGAATGGCGTTAGTACCAGTGTTTAACAACTTGTTAAAATTTATTAAAATAATATTTTACCAGTTATGTCTACTTCCTGGATGTTCAAGAACAATTACCTTGTTATATCCAAAGCCAAATATTTAAGACAATCATACAATAACAGGCATAATCGATAACCATAATGTATCTGATACATAAAAATTTTGTGCCTGTTTATAAAACCAGCTTATACATAATCGTAAGTTTTCATTCATATGATTGTTTGCATTATTGCTTTAGAATAAAACCATTGCATTATTTCTTTAGAATAAATTACCAATTACTTGAATATTTCAAAATAAAGCATTGCATTATCTTGAAATAAAACAGTTGTAGCTTAATAAAAGGTTACCAAAGACATACCAACAAAAGTGATAAGCAAATTGCAAAAATAAGAACGCAATTAATGTTACTAAAAGAAATGGCTGTATCTGTTTTCAAAGTGCTAAACTGTTCCTTGTACAATTAACCTAATCATGTTTTTATTTTTTGTTTAGTTTATATTCAGGCATACTTGAAAGAACTTTAAATTATCTAATTCAAAATAGTAATCGATCATTCTGTTCACTGCTCTCAAAATGTGTGTCAAAAATTATTTTTGGTCCAGTTTGTCAGTCCCAGAAATATGTTAAAAACAACTTACCCTGTCCGCTCTTGATTTCCAGTGGAACAAAACCTAAGCAATCTATTATGGCCTTTCAACTTTATGACGATTTGAAACGTTATCCTGATCTGTGAGATACCAGCAGGTGTAATAAGATATGTCAGCCTTAAAACATACGTGCACTTCACACCCAGATTTCTGTCAAAGAGCTTCAAAATTCCCCAGACGAAGAAAACATAGCTTCTTCAGTCCACTTAAATTTCTTATCTTAAATGCATCGACAACAAAAGATTATTTTTAACCCCGCAAGAATTTGATATGCTAATTCACTAAGTAAAATCTTCCAGTTCATAAACCAATATTCTAAATGAATTAGCAAATCAAAATTATCACAAAATTCCCCACCAGAGATAGATTGTTATTTTTAAGAATCTGATAAAAGGGAAATTGTTATCATGCAAGTCTACAATTTATAAACCAATAAATAAATGGATTATCGAATGAAAATTATCGCGAAATTCTACACCGACATTAGTGAATTATAAAGAAGTTTTTCCTAAATCATGAGACAATAAGCCACATATATTTGATATACTGTACATTGTAGCATGATAATCGTTCCGTTTGCATTACATAATTATATCAGAATTAGTTATAATAAGCAATCAATAAATAATCCTTACTCTTTTCTTCAGGAACTCTCTCACATTCAGCTCAGGCGTTAGTGAAATTTATACACTCATATTTACGAACGTCCGGGGGGGGGCACTTACCCCTAGCAGTCTGGTAAAAAATATGTTGCATTTTTGCATGCATGTTGCATGTACGCATAATACATATATTTTCGTACTGATGGTAATATTTTTGTTACGAAATGTCCAGGCGCGGTAAGATAGCTTCTCCACAAAGCAGTTTTAGGGTTGCCATAAAATGGCAACGGATGACAGGGTTGCCATATTTGGCGACAAATCGTCCATTTGGCGAAAAAATTCGCCATATACCATGGACGGATGGAGAACCTTCTGGAACGAATTCTTACCGGTTTAGCCCAGAATGTTCTCGAACACAAGCCGAAAGCTATATAAACCCTGCTGGTACGCGGAGAGTAAGTGCGAGATAGCTAGTTTCGAGTTAGTCAGTCCGTGTGGAGTCCGTCGAGTTGACAGCCGGGCAGCGAGTGCCGAGTGGGTCGTCGAGTGCATCGAAAGAGTCGCTTAGTGTATCGCGTTTAGTGCATCGTCGAGAGAGAATGTTAAGCTCTGGGAACGACTGAACCGAAGAGTCGGGAGCTGTGCTCTGTGTGTCGTCGAGTACATCGAAAGAGTCGCTTAGTGTATCGCGTTTAGTGTATCGTCGAGAGAGAGTGTTAAGCTCTTGGAACGACTGAACCGAAGAGCTCTGTGTGTCGTCCAGTGCATCGCGAGTTGTAGTGTGGAGAAGCTCGAGAGTGCGTGGAAGCTTCCGAGGAATGACCGATCACAGTCGGGGAGCTGTACTCTGTTGCTTTGCAGTGATGCTGTCTCCACCGTTATAGCCTGATAACTTGAAGGCTGTGTCGCTGATTGTTCCAGCGAGTATATAGTAGATCTTCGACGACTGTAAAACGTGATTTTGGAGCTGTCCTGATTGGCTAAATAAAGTCTGTTTCGATACTTCATCAAATAGTGTTGTCATTATTCATTCCAAATCCGCACGAACCCCGTAACGAAAGTACCAAAGGAAGAAAATAACGTTACATTATGTTCTAGAATCTGCATTGTGAACTTTACCCAATTAAATAATTAATGTAATTATTTGTCTCCAACATTTGCTTCTTCCCCGAAATATTTTCTGCAGATGCCCATGTGTTATCTCTTCAAGTTAATGTTATAAAAAGAAAATGAATACAGTTTAAACAACTACGATACAACCTGGAAAAAAAATAACAATTTCGGAAATTTCGCATAATTGTCAAGTGCAGAAAGGGTTCTGTTGCATGATTTAAGACTACAAGTATTATTGTAGTCAGTTGCACATGTTGCAGAGTTAATCTTTGTTTATACTTTTCTAGATGTAAAATATAAAATTAAACGAATATTTTTCAATCTTATGAATATGCTATATCTTAATGCGTTTTCAGAATAATTTTTTCCTTTGGGTTCACACTTTTCAAATCATTTTTAAAATCTCGTACTCATGTGGAAGGGATTTCTTATTTTTTCTACAAACAAAACTAAAAACTTTTACTTAATATTTATTTATTTATTTTTGTTTTTGTTGTTGAAACAAAAAGTTGAAATCTTAGTTTGATAGGAAGTATACTTAATACCGTTTTTAAAACACATTTTATTTTTTAGGTATTTAAAAATGATATTTAGTAATTGAATTACGCAGTTCAAACTCATGAAGCTTGAGATTCATTTCGTCATGCAATTTAGACAAAAATTATTTACATTTATTTATTTATTTATTAAATAATTTATTACTCAAATTATCACAAATTATTTATATTTTCCCAGAATCGTTTTGAAATGCAAGGTCGATTTCTGTAGTTACACGTGTATTTCCTCACTAATTTTACAGTGTTTAAAACCGAGAGGGGAAAAGTATGAGAACCGAGAGGGAAAAAATATGAAGTGTTTACTGTTTCTGAAGAGACGGCTTAAATGATAAACATAATACATTGAAAAGGGAACATAAAGGCTTTAAAAAAAGTAACCCCCTTTTACCAAATTACATTAATTTTACAATGTCGGTTTTTTCGGACTGCAAAAAAAATTCATTTTTAAACATGTCCATTCAAAATATCCTGGTTGTCAACAGTGTATTGATTGACTTATCATCCCATTTTCTTCATCAAGTTGAATGTATGCAGTACTTAACCCTTTCCAAGTTATATTGTTGCGTTTTTCCTTTTCTGACATCAGTTGTTACGTTATTTTCTTCCTTCACGTTCGTACGGGGTTCATAGATTTGGAGTGAATAACGACTACACTTGATGAAGTATCGAAACACACTTTATTTACCAGTATTGTCAGGACAGCTCCAAAACTCTTTTGCAGTCGTCGAAGATCTATCATAAACATGCTGGAACAATCAGCGACACAGCCTTCATACTGTCAGGCAATAACGGTGGAGACAGCTTCCTGCAAAGCACCCGACTCTGCTTTCCGGAGTACAGCTCTCGTCTCTGCTTGGTTGTTCTCGGAACTCCACGTACTCTCGAGACTCTCCACGCTACAACTCGCAATGCACTTGACAACACACAAGCACAGCTCCCGACTCTTCGGTTCAGTCGTTCTCGGAGCTCAATACGCTCTCTCGACGATGCACTAACCGCGATACACTAACTGACTTCTTCGGTGCACTCGACGACCCACGCGGCACTCGCTGCCCGGCTGTCAACTCGATCGACTCCGCAAGGATTGACTCGCTAGATGAGACACCAACTCCATACTGACTCTCTCGCACTCTATGCGAGGCACACACACTCGATACTATTCGATGAAGCACACACCGACTGACTGCGGACCAGCAAGGTTTATATAGCTTTCGGCCTGTGTTCGAGAACATTCTGGGCTAAAGCGGTAAGAATTCGTTCCAGAGGTTCTCCAACCGTCCATGGTATATCGCCAATGATAGACGTACAATTTGGAGAGAAGAATAATACGAATACATTATCTTTCACTAAAACTTTAGGTGAAATATGCGCCGAACAGTTGTCAACAATGACTACTTTTGAGTCATCAGGTAAACCAACCGAATTCAAATGTCACCGAGCCTCGGGTATAAAATGATTTTAAAACCAATCATTCATCAACGCTTGTGTCATCCATGCTCTCTTTTATTTACGCGATATATAACGGGGAAAATCGTTACTCCTTTAAATGCTCGAGGTCATGCATGTTTTCCGATTACGAAAAGTTTGCACTCGTGCGTTCCTGCAGCATTTGCGCACTCAAAAATTGTTTGTCTCGCTTTAAGCCTTTTCTGTAGAGGCTGCCAAGGTATTTCGCGGTACATATTGCCAGAAAAGACTAGTTTCATCAGCGTTGTAAATTTGTTCTGTCGATAATTGTTCACTAGTAATGAGTTCAATGAATTCATCTGCAAATTGTTCAGCAGCTTCAGTATCAGCTGTAGCTTTTCCACCTGAAATTTTTGTTTTATACCATGCCGATTTTTAAATTTGGTTAACCAACCTGTCGAATAAGCTCACTCAGTGTTTAAGTTCATTTCTTCATGAAATATTTTGACTTGAGTCATTAGCATTGGACCCTCCACTCTCACCGTCAATGGCACGCCCTCGATGCGACGCTATCTTACCCATTCAATCATGTCATGATCGTCACGCCTAACGAACCCTTTTTGCAAGTGCGGTGTCGGAATCCACAAAAAATTCAAAAAGTTCCTTTTTCCTTTCGCTTATGTCATATACAGTTGACTTTCCAATGTCATACTCCTCGCATAATTTTGAGACGGATATACCTTTATCCATTTTTTGCAGCTATTCCACTTTTTGTTTGATGGACATCGAAACATGCTTTCGCTTTGTAGATCCTTTGGCAGCTCCAGAAATGGAAACTCTTTTTGACATAATCGAAAGTTCAAGGTTAATTTTTATAAAATTGCTATAACAGTCTGCAAAAAATAATAAGCCGGATCCAATTAGAAGATTAAGGAACAGCGCAATCTGCAACATTAACTGAAATGCCTTAGAATCAGTAAAGATAATTTTAGTTTAGCTTATCCGTCCGTTATACATTAAACGCCCATGCGTAAAGCATCCAAAAAAAAAAAAAAAAAGGTTGTGGCTTTGAGATCCGGATTATAGATCATTCCGGATAATGGACGTCCGGATTACGGACCTTGTACTGTACATGAAAATTAATTTATACTGAATTTTCAAAATTACTCTAAAATAATAATTTAAATGTGCAGAAAAATAATCTTTGGGATAAAACAGAAATAAAAGTTAAATAAAACTTTTACGAATAAATTTTATTTAGTAACTTAAAAACACTCACTACTTCTTCAAATATTCCTCTACTGAAGTGTGCAAATCCGCTTTTTGACAGAACGACATA